TTTCATTCCCCAGCTAGGTAACACCTACAGTGCTGGAAGGGAATGGGGTTTGCTCTCTGTTTATATACTGTGGCATGCCCTGCCAGTGTTGGTGGGGTGGGGGTTTTGTTTTTGTTTTTTCCTCTGGTAATTCCTTGATTAGAGTATTGTTTACTGCTTGATTGTATGCCTGGTGGTAATCACTGCTTATCTGGCTGATGATTGCTTGTGAGGAGATGTTCTGGTCTTTTGTTTTCTTTTCTATTGTCTCTTTTGAATAGTGTGTAGATGTTGTTTATTTCTTGGTGCCTGGAGGCTGTGTGAGAAAGAACAAACTTAAACTGAACCCTACCAAGATGAAGCTACTGTTTATGCATTGGGGTTCCTCTACATCCCCTGTTTTGTCTCTGGACAGGGTTGCACTGCCCCTGAAGGAACAAGTCCATCACTTTGGGGCCTTCCTAGACTCACAGCTCCTGCTGGATCAGCAGGTAGAAGCTGTGGCCAGGGGGCTTTTGCCCAGCTTTGGCTGGTGTTCCAGTTGCAGTCTTACTTGAGATGGGAGGACCTGACTAGTGGCTCTCACCGTAATCACCAATTGATTAGACTATTGTAACATGCTCTACATGGGGCTGCCTTTAATAACCACCTGGAAGCTTCAGTTGGTGCAAAATGCAGTGCCCTGGGCGCTCATAGATGTTTACTGGTGGCCAAATATTATACCTATTCTGCAGGCCCTGTATTGGCTTCTTATCAGCTTCTGGGTACAGATTAAAATGCTGGTTGTACCCTATAAAGTTCTTTATGGCTTGGCACTTACCTCTAGCAGATAAATAACAAGACCCAGAAATAATTGCCTTGAGAGTCCATGTGATACATACTGTATTATGTTGGGAAGCTGCAGGAGCTTCTTCTGCACTAACACAGCTTTGAGTTGACTGAGAAGCGCATCAGGGGACACACATTTGCAGCATACCTTTCCCCAATGTACTGGAGATTCTGGCTTGAGGATTCTGATAGTCTCCACACCCATGGAGGACACCAACCTAGAGAAGGGAGCTGTAAGAGAGCTGAAGAGAGATGCCTGTTTCCAGTTTCTGCCAAATGACTCTGTGCTTCCCCATCTAGACTCCCAGCAATACTTCCAGTAGTAGTATGTGCTTTATCATTTAAAACCCATTATCAGGATTAATAATCTTGGGACCCTCTTTGCCCCAGTCCTCTCTTATAACTCATTAGTAGATCCTTGTCAGGCAAAACCAGAGTAAGAGGCAGTCATCACTGATCGTTCATTGGCCTGATAAGACAGTTCATCTAGAAATTCTCCAGGGTTTGCATGAATGCCAATGGATTCTATATGCTATAGATGAGGATCTGGACTCTCTGTATCTGAGGGCAGGAAGCCAAGCTCACCCCAGCAGAAATGTAGTATCCCTGTAGAGAGACATTGATGGTCAGGTACACAGTCCATTTTGCAAGTGAAGTCAGGGATAACAACCAGGGAGTCAAGAGCAAGATATCCAGACCATTACATAAGGTGAAGGCATTGTTGCTAACAAATTGAACTCCCAAATAATGTACTTAGGAATGCAGCCACTCCCAGCCTTAAAATGTTGATCTTTACCAGGCTTAGTTCCTTGATTTCAGATGCTGGCAGTGCTGAGGTTCCCTGGCCATTCCCATTATTTGCAAGGCCTGTCCTGTAGAAATTCATAATGAGGAGAGAGGGAGTTCTGGTGACCTGAAGGCCCATAGCAGCTTCTTTCTCAATGCAGGGTTGGGTTCACAGTCGTACTTTAGAGATCACAATACTGAGCTTGTTTTCTATCTTGCACAGTTTCAGTTATGATCAGGACGCCTAGGATTATTCAAATCATTCATATGCATAACAGCAGAAAGCTGCACAAAACCGATCTTATCTTTCTGAATTCAATGCCAGGTGAAAACTGCCCTTCAGCATTACTGCTGTTTGACATGATATTTTTAGCTGCCAAAGCAATAGGGTGGCTGCACAAAATCATCTGGTGAGATGTCACAAGAAGGAAAAGTGAGATGTTACAAGAGGAAAAGAATTAACTGGCCTGTCCACTAAACAGCCTCTCCCTGACATTGTTTGAACTTTCCTCTGTAGGGTTTCTTCTCTTCTGAAGTGAGCCAGTTACAGTCTAACTGTGGAAACTGCAGTAGGTGCAGATGTCATCAAAACTTTCAGCTGGTGGTTGTGTGGCATCTGTGCATGTGTGTGAGTGGATGGTTGTGTATGTTGATGCGTGCATTTTAAGATAATTTAACCATTTGTCAACTTATCAGGTGTGTATGTGTGCGTGTATACACATACATACAGTATACACACATATACACATACACATACATGCTTTGCATAAAGACCTGTGGCTGTATCAAACAATGAAAGATAAACTCCAGGTAGCTGTATTTCTGTTAATATGCAATGACTCCACGAAATAGTCTGAACATTGTAATTTTCTATCATTAGCAGATTGTTTGTCCAAAACCAAGTCTGCATTGTTTTGCAAAAGGTCTTCTTTTTTTTGAACAGGTTTTCCATTTTTCTTCACGTATGCTAGTTAATCAGTACATATTTGATTTTCACAGTGAAAACTAGGTTTGTGGTGGGCTACTGTCCATTTCCAGCAGGCAAGTTGACTCAAAGGAACCTTTGAAGGCAATGTATGTGGTCTCAAGAAAAACTGCATAGTTAGAATCATTCGCTTAGTCATGCCTTATTTATTCAGAGACTCTGAGGATCTTTTCTGCTTGATTTGGAACAGCCTGGTTTCCTGTGAAGAACTTTCAATGTGGACACAGCAAAACTATTTTTTTAGCTTGATGCTATTGATTTTCATTTTAATCTTGACATGTATGATATTTAGTTAGTTCTCACAGGTAGCAATACGTTATTTTCTTTACAGCTCTGTATGTAGGTCTGGGGGAGGAGCTGCATGTGTGTGCGTGTATGCTCACAGAGACTCATGTACATATGTAGAGCTTTTATAGTACTACATTAAAAATAGACAACTTTGAAAGAAGGAACTGATTGCTATTTGCAGCTCAAAAAAGCCCCCTCCCACTGTGTTTAGGGATGTTTACAGTAAATGAAATGGAGTGTTTCACCACTTTGTAGACATTCCTCATAGAAATGTACAAAGTCTCTATTATACCTATTCACACCCATACACAAAAATCAAACCAGGCTGAGTTTGCTTGTTTGTTTGTTTTTTCCTATCTATTCATGATTGGTTCTCAGGGTACCTGAAACACTTCCTTATCAAGAAACTCTAACCATCTTTTCATAAACTTGATATGATCCTTCTGATTCTTTTGTGTTTTAGTCACTGGATTTTTACTTCTGCAATTGAAATTCTGAAGGTTTTATCTGAGAACATTTGCTTCCTAGAAAATGGTAGTGATCGTTAGCTGAAAGGAGTAAAAACTAATTAACTTACTCTAGCTTACTTATTGTTACAAAACAATCACACAGTTGATTTACAGTGGGGCAAAAAAGTATTTAGTCAGCCACCAATTGTGCAAGTTCTCCCACTTAAAAAGATGAGAGAGGCCTGTAATTTTCATCATAGGTATACCTCAAC